TATATATATATATATATATATATATATATATATGGACTATGTATGTGTATATAGAATTTATATAATCTATATGCATATCCTTGAATTAGTCGCTACGATTTTAGAGATACAAAAACGTTTTTAACAAAAGTTTGTTTTAATGAATAATTAGATGTGAAAGATAAATTTAAAAAATACTTATGTTTTTAATCAAAAATCGAATATCGTCTTTTTAAACAGATCCATGTATTTTCTCAATATTTTTACAGTATATAAAAAGACGAATTTATCATATTATGTATTTCTTTTTTTGTTAAAAATTCAATAATTTAAATCTTCCGCAACTTGCGATCTCGCATAAAGGAACCACGTTAGTGTCGTTGTGTTTCGCTTAGAACCAAGATTAACTGTGTCTCCTGGTTATTCGATCCCCAGATGACTCAGTTAATACTTACAACATAATCTGCCACCTATATTTAAAACAATGAGACAAACTTAAACAATTAATAGCAAATTTAATTGAGCGCACTAGTGCGCACTGATGCATATTAAAATCGTTATACATTAATTTAATTCAAGTTTAAAAGTGAAACACAATTATAAAATTCATCAAATAAAATGAAATCCGACTCCTCAATATTTAAGAAATTTAAGAATAAAATATGTAGGGAAGTAGAAGGTAATTATTGCGGAAGTATAATAATAGAGATTCAATATAATACAGCTATCTCTTCAATTTCGACAGAGGTAGTACGCGTTTCGATTTGCTTCATTCTCAATAAATTAAATAAATTAATTATATTACGCTCTTATGCAAGCTGTGCAATCCTGGCTCCAACCATTCGCCTTACTACAAAGATTCATATTTGTTCCATCGTGGTCAAATGATCAGATAAAAGGAACTCCACGAGATAGGCTATAATAACGTTAAGATTTTAGTAAAGGTGATCAACGATAATTTAAATCTACAATATAAGGAAACGAGTACGGATAATCACTCATCAAATTGCAACAGACTTATACACTCACATCCAGTAGTCAACACAATGTACATTATATAATTATAATAAATAATAAACAACATTTTTTGTCAAATTATTACGAATAAGAATAACATAATTAATGGGTCAGTTATCTAAATTAAATGACGTTACATTTCGCAAGAGTAGTTGACGTATTCAAGATAATAATAATGCTACGTGTCATCACCAATACGTAACCACCGAGGAGTAAAGTCATACTTTAAATAAAGAAATTCTGCAGATGGCATCGAGAGCCGAAGTATAAACATGGTCTAAAAATTCAGTATCCATTTGCAAATTTAAGCTCATCTCTTGTGTTTTTATGTGTAACATTTTGGAAGTTAATCTTTTAAAATGTCTTTCTCTGTCCAGTATCCAAACATTATCTCAATCAAATTTATGATCATGTTGTAATCTATGGTCTGTAATCACCAAGCTGATAGACGTTTTTCTAGGGATATAATTATGATGTTTTAAAATCCGTATCTTTAATTGTCGACTTGTTTGCCCCACATACGAAGCTTCACAATCCATACAGGTAATTACATTTTTTGCGAGCTGATTGGACAGATCCTTGTAAACTCTAATCAAATCTCGAAATTTGTTCACATTGTAAAACGCTATTTTTGAGCCTGTGCCATTAATCATTTTCTTAAATTTATCTAAAATTTTATTAACAAACTGAATAGTAAACCAAATCACTTTTTTGTTAATATCTACATTTTATTTGTTCTTCTTTTTTTTATTTATAAGATATATAAGTCTCTACAAAATAGTGTTAAAAATAATTCTAGTGTCATTATTCAGTAAAATTTTTTGAGGCAACAAAATATATTGAGGATTTCGTGATTTAATCAATTTCTGTATATGTATTTACATCAATTTGCGTCAAATCAAATTTGCTATTAAAAAAAATGAACTTATTTTCTGTTAAAACAGAATTTGTTAAAACAGATTTTAATGCTTAAATATTTCAGAATGAGTTTGTATACATATCCAATTCTGCAAACTGCGCGCCAAAATCATTTTCGATTTTGAAACACAATCATGAATAGAATAATACAATAATATTACATATTAAGCTTATATACATATACATATATGTAATTTATTTTAATTATATTTTTTTGTATTGTATTATATATCCATTTCATTTTCTAATAGAGTTTTTTTTATTATCAAATTGAGACGTTTGACTTGAGATCAAAATCACAAAGCGACATATCTTAGAACTTGTAAAAAAATTGTTCTGTCCTTAAAAACGTTTTATAATTTCAATAAAATGCAACTTTTAAAGATCCTGTAGGAGATCCCGGAAAAATTCCAACTGGATCTTATTCTAGGTGAATAGATTTACAATTTGAAGGAAATAACGTTCCATTTAAACGCTTAGAACTTTGCTAAAATCGATCTTGAACTTGAAATTTAATCATTTTTTCACATTAATCGAGCTACATTTCTTAAGGCGTATATCATAGAGCTACATGAATTATTGCAAATTGGTTTTGTCATGTTTAGCGACCAAAAAAACATACAGTACCATATTTAAAATTCAGATTAAGCCATTTTTGCATCAAATCGGACATGTATTAAGGAAAATCGAAACTTTTATTTAAAAATTGTTCACTAAATCTTAATATTTTTAAATAAAAATTTAAAGATGTTTTTTGGCATAAAATAGAAGTTTTTCAGGTAAGAGGCCAATTAAAAATATTTTTTAAAGTAACAGTGCACAGTTGGATAAAAAGTTTCTTTTTCAAAATATTTTTAAAAAACATTACAAAGGTTTACTTCCAAAATGCTTTTTTAAAAATTTTCTTATAATTTTTCTTGATTGAATTACACGTCATTGAACCTACATAGCTCACAACCAACATCAAAATTCGTGAAATACCATCATAAAAAATTAAAGTTTATATTTTAACAAATTCTAATCATTTATAAAGTTAATTCTACAAAATTGAAAAGATAAAATTTTTTTTGATGATTTGTTATCAACTTTCACCGTTGATTATTTAACAGTGGTTTAGTTTCAATATTGCGTAATTAAGTCAAGAAAAATCATAAGAAAATTTTTAAAAAAGCATTTTGAAGATAAATCTTTGTACTATTTTTTTTTAATATTAAACTTTTTGAAACAAATTTTTTATCAAACTGCGCATTGTTAAATGTACGTAATTTTAAGAAATACAACAACGTGATATTTATTAAGATACAGAATAGTAAAGACAAAATTTTTTTGAAAAGTGATCAAAAGCATGCTAAAGTATAAGTTTTAAGTTTTAAAATACTTTTTTATTTTTTGTTTGCGATAATTTTTTACTGAGTAACGATGTCCTAAATATATTATGCAATTTTAAGGTTCGGAAACTTTTTAATGGTAGAATATATTAGATGTAGTAAAAAGAAATCTATTATTTTTCCAATAGATGGCTTTAGTAATCTGTATCTCGCGTTGTATAAGTGCGATCGGGTTACGCCAAATGGCGTTAGAAAG